AAAAAAAGGAAAAAATAAGCAAAAGTGAAGATTAATTGTTTTATAAACCAATAATTGTATCAAAAAACACACTAATTGTCTGTTTGAATCATTTTAAACACACCAGGCTTCAGTAAAAAGGATAAAGAGAATGGGGTTTAATAAATTGAGCAGCAAGCTTAAGGGTTCGTCTTGGATCGTTCTTACCAATGGGAAGTATTTTAATCATTAGAAAAGTTAATAGTTTTTTTGTTTAAAGCAGCATTTTTACTTCAATATAGGCCATTAGAGTAGGGACATATTTTAGCTGGTTAGGCAAAAAGAATTAAAGAAAAAAAAGTGCTTTCCCCCTCGTTTTTTCCTTGTCTGAAAGGGGAAGAATGAGGAGTTATTTAGTTCTCATGCAATTTATTTCATTTCAATCAGTAAGAGGCAGCTCTATTAAGGTTTTCTAATGTAGCTAGGTTTAGAAACATCAGCAGGAAGAAACAAACTTGAATTTTGGAATAACAGTGTTCCAATATTTTATGATTTAAATATGATTCATGGTGTTGTTTTTAAGTCAACATGTATAAGCAGACTATAGAGTTTGTGGCTCTGAACATCATACATGCATGCATACATACATATTCATGTACACAGTAAAAGTAACTTATTATCTATCCTTTCCTTTTACTTTAAATAGGAAAGTTAAATCAGCATAGCTATTATGTGGTGACTACTTCTGTGACTATTGCAATGGAATAGGGTAATAGGATACTTTCAAAACTTAGGGAAGAAATCCCAGAAGGCAATGGCAAACCAATTTTCTGCCATTGCCATAAAAGTTGCCATACAAAGAGCCAAATTTTTTAGATCATCTAAGCCTGTGATGGCGAACTTATGGCATGCATGCCATAGGTGGCACACAGAGCCCTGTCTGCGAGCACGTCACCGGTGCCAGCTCCTCTTCTGGGTTCTGTTGTACACATGCGTGCCGGAACCTGGAGGAGAGCAGCTGGCTGGTGCGCATGCACACCAGACGCCAGAGTGACGGAACCCGGAAGTGCAGCTGGTCGCTGTATGTATACGCACCGGCCAGCTGCTCTCTTCTGGATTCTGGCGCTCCAGTGTGTGTGTGTGTGCACACATGCTCCAGTTTCAGCAAAAGGTTAATTATCACTGATCTAAACTAATCCCAAATCAAGAGAGACTTTACTTACCCCTCACTTATATTATTTTTTGCCTCAAAATGTTAGGAAACAATTCCACTCTTTTTCACAACAGTGGTCAGAGGAAACATCCGTAGAGAAGGAGCTCAAGATTACCCAACCCTCTGTAATATACCTGTGTAATGCCTCTGCAGAGGAAAACACTCAGGGATAGAGTAATAAATCACCCTACACCAACCACATATTCTCACAAAGAGAATCTTGCTGCTGCAAAATGTTTTCAAACTTAAAAGAGATCAGGAATAACCCAGTGATCACTAGATTAATGATTGCAGTCTAATCTCCTTTTGCCATCAGTTCAGCTGGAATGGGAAATCTGAGTTAACCTGCTTTTCCATTGATTGTTAATATTTTTTCCCCTAGTGGAATAAGAGCTGCCTTATAAACAGCACTGCGAACTTCTTCAGTGATGAAAAGACCAGGATAGGTAAGTGAAGAAATAGCTCACCTCAAAGCACAAAATATCAATATTTCCTTTCAAAGGATGACTAAGTACTTGTTTTCTTTCATGCCCCTTTCCATTTATCTGAAATCAGTTATCTTGTGTAGCTATTGGTAAAATGTCTTGGTCCTAATCTATCATTTGTTCTGTTCTTGCAGAAATGTTGATTTATGTTCAATTTGGGGAATGTTTTAAAATTTTGGCTGGAAACTTGATTTATATAGAATTATCTCTACATCTAAAAGTTTAATGTAAAGTGTAGGTCCAAACAACTAGACATTGTGAAGAAATGTGAGATCTCAAATTCCATATTCTCTTTGAAAAGTCCTCTCTACCTTAGTCACTGTCAGTATTTTTCCTCCAAGCCCAATATTTTTCCTTAGCCACTTTCAATATTTTTCCTCCTTTCATATACAATCACCTTCTGGATAAAAGATAATTACAAGGGATGGCCTTTTCAATGGAAAACAATGTAATGAAAATGTGCTGAACCTGTACATACTTCTTGTGTCCAGTTATCTCACCAAATATAAAGCATTAAGTGGTCCAGGGGACTACAATAGAAACTGCTTCTCATTTTCTGGGAGCTTTTCTCTAATTAGGACTAGAAAGTTGCTCTACAGTTGGATTTGATCTCAGACTCTGAAAGTTCTAATGATGACTCTTGTATTTCAAGTGCAAGAAAGAGATTAGAAGAATTCATTTTTTTAAATTTCATTCCTTCAACATTTACAGTGATAGTATTCAGAGAATCATATTGCCCTAATTTATGTGGAATACAACATATTTTGGGAGCTCTATTCCTTTTCTCTTGTACTTTTCCTAAGGAATTAAATTATTGTTGCTGCAGTTTTTCTGGTGATTTTATATTGTCTGGTTGGCCAACCAAATCAGACACTTAAAAAAATTTATGAGGAAACTTAAAATCTTGAGGTTTGCTTTTGTTGATTCCATGTAATTCTCCATTTTTACCAATGCATCTCAGATTATGAAGATATCTGGTTACCTTTTTACTTCTTTTACTCCTGAAAAAAATGGCTAATGGAATATTTCTACTGTCTATGTGTTTTGCCACAGATTTTATCCTTGTATGGGAATCAGATGGTGAGAATCCAGAGGGCCAGAAAGAAGAGAATTATAATCCAAAATCCAAACAAAAGAGAACAATTGAAATTCACAATGAATGGCGGGAGAAATTTCTGCATAACCTCCAAATGAAGGGGATCAGAACTGAAAAGGCATGCAAAAAAGTGGATTGCTGGTAACAGAGTGGTGGGTGGGTGAGAGAGTGGAAAATTGACCAAGGAGAGAAACAACCTTCACGTTAATCTTTCATTGTATCATCCTTAATTTTATTGGTCTCACCTTCTTTCAGAGAAGAAACGAAAGTAAGAATTTGGGCCTGCCATAAGCCATTTTAAAACCCTCTTGTTCAATATTGTAAACAGTTTTAATTCTTCACAAGGCTAAATATGAAGGGAAAACACGAATAAGGCTAGACTATCATCAAATACAGTATCCCAATCTTGCACTTTTAAGTATTTTCTTACATCTACACTATTTCTGCTTTTCCTTTCCAGGGTAAGCAATATTATGCAAAATTAGCTGACAAAATTTAAGGCAGAAGAAAGAATAAGAAGAATACCTTGTCTATACCATATCTTTCCATACATCTCAATCGTCGTAAACCATTCTTTGTAAATCCTTTTTTCACAGAATCCATGCCCCATTTTATATTCTGCCTTTTGTTCAACCATGTATAGTTCTTTCCCTTCCTTTTGACTTACTCACTTTTCTTTCATATACTTGTTTTGTAATTCCAGCCTCCTTCATTCTCTCTCTATGATCAAACCACCTCAATGTATGTTTTTCATACAGGTCATTCAGATTCGAATTTAATCCATATTGATCTAGTTCCCATCCATTCTTGACCCTCTTTTCTTGTTTTACCACCCACCTATGTCTCTGGAGCAAACCTATTCCCATTGTATTCTATTTATATTTATCCGGACATATCCAATGATCATATCAGTATAACAAAGTAGATAGTAGCATGCCCTTATATCTTTTACTCCTTTTTATCTCTGTTCCTCAATGTCCGGCTGAAGAACAAAAATCTGATCTGCCTATCTCCCAGTACATGAAAAGCCACATTACACTTACCATATTGTGTTCCTTTTCACCTTTGATACTCTTTCAGTAGCATTCTGCTGAAAACTATCCCAAGCACATTTCACAAACTTCTCTGTAGGACTTTTGCATTAATTTTTTGTATTTTAAAAATGCATAGATGAAAAATCACAACATTGTTTGAATTATAAGGCAAAAATGCCACCTTTACATACAAATGAAACGGGCTACACAATCATAACCAAACTACATTTGTTTTTTTAACACCGTGTTTCAGGGTGTTATTTTCTTTTGCCCCACAAAATATGGTCTTGGGCTTATTATAGGGGAGGGCTTATTATTTTCTGGGGCAAGTGAGAAGCGAGGCACACCTTTTACTTTTCCAGCTCCGTCACGTTCCTCGCCATTGTGCTCAGGGAAGCGGCTGGTAAAAAAAAACTTCTCACGAGTTCAATCAAACTTCTTGAAATCACGAGAAGAGTTTTTTTAACAAGGGACTTCCCTGAACACAATGGCGAGGAACGCGACGGAGCTGGAAAGGTAAGAGGCGCACCTCACGGCCCAACACTTCCCACCTTGCCCCAATTGTAAAGGCAGCCTGCCTGGTTCCCTTCCCTGCCGTCCCTTTAGTGAGCGGGGAGGAGAAGCGAGGCGTGTCTCTTACCTTTCCAGATCCATTGCGTTCCTCATCCTTTCGCCCATTGAATCCCCTTGTAAAAAAAACCCCATGAGTTGAACTCATGAGGTTTTTTTTACAAGGGGATTCAATGGGTGAAAGGGCGAGGAATGCAATGGATCTGGAAAGGTAAGAGGCGCTCCTCACTTCTTCCCCCCAACTGCCACCCCTTGCTAAAGGGACGGCGGAGAAGAGAACCAGGCAGGCTGCCTTTACCATTGGGGTAGGCGGTGTTTTTTTGCACAAGAAGGAACAGGCAGGAGGGGATGATTGCATTGCTGGCCTGCCGCTGTTTTTGCGGCGGGCTCTTTTTGTGTGGGAGGGAAGGGTGGGAGGTGAAAGTACTTTGCTTCGCCTGCTGCTGTTTTTGCGATGAGCCCTCTTTTTGCCCCCGCAAGCTGTACCATAGGTGGTACAGTGGTAATGGCAGGGGGCGGTTGCGCATGCGCTTATTTTCAGGGGAGGGCTTATTATGGCGCATGCTCTGAAAAGCCCGATTGGGCTTATTAGCAGGGCATGTCTTATTTTCGGGAAACACGGCATTAGTCCAGTTACACCATCTATACAAGTTCCCTTTCAACTTTCTCATGGTTTTTATTACTTTCTTTTCATGTTTTTTTTCTTGGACAGCAACATTTATAGAATTCATTTCAATTCCACTTTTTAACATTTAATTCTCATCCTTATACAAATCTCTAAAATATCTGTGCAGTGCTGCTTCAGTTCAGTTTCAGACCAAATAATTTTATCACCCTTATTCTTATTTTAAAATAATTTATTAAAGTTTAAAAATATAGTAATAAAAGATTAATGCAAAATAAGAGAGATATAAAAATATAAAGAAAAGAAAAAATAGAAGTGCAATTAGAATATGTGTATATATAAAATAACTCCCCTCTGCAGACAAGATATAAACAACTCCAATAATTCTCAATAATACCTTCTCTAGCATTTCAGTTAAAAAACTCTTCTTCCTACATTTTATCATTCTTTAATCAAATTGGAAAAACTCATTGTTCATTTATGTCTGTTAGGAGCTACCAGAAATGTAAACACATATATTTTAACCTTAATTAAATAAATCCATTTTGTATTTCAACTTATGATTTTTTCTAAGAAATAAAGCAAAAGAAATCTCTCCCCAGTTATAATCAAGTCTTTAAATTATCAATATTGAGTCCTGATCAAAGAGAAATTCCTATAATAGCTAGCTGAAACTATAAAATATATATTTTCACCTTGGCCAAATAAATTCACTTTATAGGTAGTCCTTGAATTATAACCATTCTTTTATTGACCATTCAAAGTTACAACGGCACTGAAAAAAGTGAGTTATGACCGTTTTTCACACTTATGACCATTGTTGCATCCCCATGGTCATGTGATTAAAATTCAAATGCTTTACCATATTTATGATGGTTAGTGTCCCAGGGTCAATATGATTACCTTTTGCATCTTTCTGGCAAATCAATGGGGAAGCCAGAATCACTTAACAAACAGTGGAATAGCTTGCCTTCAGAAGTTGTGGGTGTCCATCACTTGAGATTTTTAAGAAGAAATTGGACAACTGTTTGTCTGAAATGGTATAGGGTCTCCTGCTTCAGCGCAGGGTTGAACTGAAGGCCTCCAAGGTCTCTTCCAATTCTGTTTTTCTACTATTTCATATTCTATTTTGAATGCCCTAATTACAAACATTTATCTCTTAGTAATCTGGGACTGTTAATATGCTTCTGATATCAGCTATGGTATTTAAACTGGGCTGACAAAGAGAATCATTTCAGTCCAATAGAGCTGTTAGTAGTGGTGGGATTCAGCCAGTTCACACTTATTTGGGAGAACCAGTTGTTAATTTTCTAAGCAGTTCTGAACCGGTTGTTGGAAGAAATCTCATTTTGTTTTTTTCCACTTTACAGAGTTAATCTGTAAAGAAGGCAGGAAAGAAACCTTTTGGTGTTGTTTCTAGCCTAATCTTTATTGCCCTGCTTACAGAAACTGTCTCTCCGGTTAAGCCTTATTACATTGTAATAGCTAAGGTAAAGCGTCCATCGACATGAGTGACATTGAGTTGGCCACGCCCATCCAGTCACATGACCATTGAGCCCTGCCTACCCAGCTGGTCATTTGGACAGAAAACCAGTGTTAAATTATTTGAATCCCACCACTGACTGTTAGTAATAATTGGGGGTCAGATAGGGCTAGTAACACTAGCACTCTGGTTCAGACAAAGTGCTGTTAAACTTATGTTTCTCATGAGTGTTTTGGAAAAGAAATATTTGGCTCTCCAGTTGAATACATTTTTCCAAGTGAGTCTAAAGTACCAAATTTTGATGTAGCTGAGTGACTCTAATGGTTTCTTTTGCAGCATGCAGCCCAACATACAAAGAAAGTGGTCCACTTTATATTGTTGAATGCTCCCTGGAGTGTGCTATGTTATTATGCTGAGGACCTCAGGCTGAGAGTCCCCTTGCAGGTGAGAATGCTGTGAAACCTAATACCCATGGATCAAACTTTGCTGCCAGCTAAAATCATTTATTATAGCCTGATCTCAGGAAAGAAGAGGTTGGGGGTTTTAGTTGTTTGTTAGCTATATTACATTAGACTGCAGTTGATCAGAAGGAATTTGCTTATGTAAACATTAGTTCATTTTTAAAAAACCTATCTCCATGTGGAAACTATGAGTTGACAGAAAGGTAGTCCATATCCCTCCTCGGCAGTATCTCCCTTTTGTGAACAGTGATTTTTGTTCATTTAAATGTTTTGGTTTGATTTACTTTTGTAAACTGTCCAGTATCTTGGGAAGTTTGGCAGGGATAAAAGTTTCTATAAGTAAATAAATAAATAAATAAATAAAGGAAAAAATATGCAAACATTGTAGGAGAAGAGCTGATCTAATTTATGTTACCAAAAAAAAAAAAATCAAAAGCAGCCTGGCCAGCACTTTTTCTAACAGAAGTTGTTAAAAAGCATAAGATTTCAGGAACTGTGTTTTACAACTGCATTTGTTTTTCCCCACTTCAGAGAAGTACTCAACTGATGGAATAAAAACAGTATTCACAAGACTAAACTACCCACCCAATGAGATCAATAGACAATAGTACCAGGCCAATTCCCAGGGGGGATTTATTACAAGACAGACCAGAAAAAGAGAAACTGAAAGCCACTGGTTGTTACCTACAGTTCACTGTTCAAGTCACACTAATGCATTATTAATAAACTGCAGCCCATACTAGAAAAATGATACTGCACTTATTCAGGCATTGGGTGGCAGGCCACTACTTACATACACCCAACCTGAAGAGTTTCAAAAGCAGCAATAATAGGATAATGCCAACATGGGTACTTTTGCATCTTGGAGCGAAGGGAGAGGACGCGACAAGAGGGGTAGCAAAGCAGTAACCTTTATTCAGCTCATAGTAACTACGATTCAACGTGGCGTGGTTCGCGCCAACATTTATACCCCCAAGTTTGAACAATGAGCCAATAGGGCGTCGAGTAGCTCAACCAGTCGGAGAGAGGGACAATGATAATCTGTTTTCAAGATAA